GCCAGGACTTCCAGCGTCACGTTGAAAGCAGTGGTAACGGGGGACTACAATGCTTTTTAATTGGGGTGAAATCTAAATAAAAACAACCATCTACAATTTTTATTTAGAGGACATCCCCTATTTGCTGGTCCAATCCCCAAACGCCCACAGCAGGCTGAAGATGGGAGCCAGTTCCGGAACCCCAATGTTCCATGTGGGTACCGGGGGTCCCGCCTTGCAGCACGTTACCAGGAAGCTGGGATCCGAGTAGAGCTGGGACCAAACCCAGGCACGGTGACAAGGAACGAGGCAGCTTGGGGAACATCTTGGCTACTAGGCCAAATGCCCAAAGCCTAAATTAACCACTTTAATATGAACGGTTCCGGGGCCAGAAGTGGTGCAACTATAATCCATATTTAGTTCCAAAATACTTTTCGTCACCCAAAAGCAAATGCTGTTTTCACTAAGAAGCAACCTGTCATTCTCCCAGGCCCTAATCCCCTGGAAAACAACAGCTTCCCATATAATCGGACAGCGCACACACTTACAAAATCATTAAGCATGTGACAGTACGTATCCGGCTTATTTTATTTACCATAACACTTCTGAGGCTCACTCCTACCGTAACATAGTTCATCTCCTTTTCTGGAAGGAATAACACCCATGGCTTCACTCCCTAAATGCTGTGACCAGCTAAGGCTGAAATAGGCTTATCGAATGATGTCTCCTATGTGGGTGACAGGGGTCCAGGAATCGGAGTTGTCACCACTGGTTTCCAAGGGTTGAAGCTGAAGGCAAGAGCCAATGCTGGGCATGGAACCCAGGCACTCTGAGAAGGACCCAAGCATCTTCCCTGGCATCGTGCATTTTAAGTACCAGGTTACACCCTTGTGCCATTTGTAAGTTGGGCTTTTATCTTTTTGTCATTATTGATACGTTTTGAATGGTGGAAGCTTAGTAGATACATTATTTGCAAGTATTTCCTTTCATTCTATGGATTGTCTTTTTATGGTTTAACATTTTCTTACTGCTAAATCTCAAGTTATGAGGACAATTGCCTGTGTTTGCTTCCAGGAGTTTTATAGTTTAAGCATTTGTATTCTAGGTCTTTGATCTACTTTAGTTCATCTGTTATAGGGTGTGAGGTAGAAGTCCAACTTTGTTCTCATGTGTGTAGATAACCAGCTGCCCCAGCACCACTTGTTCAACCAACGGCACTGTCCCCACTGAATGGTCTTGGCACACTTTATTAAAAAGCAATTGGCCATAGGTTTATTTTTGAACTCTGTTTCTTTCCATTGCTTTGCATCTGTGCCAGTACCATACTGTCTTGATTACTATAGTTTCGCTTTTTTAGCTCTTTTTTTAAAGATCTATTTATTTATTTATTTATTTATTTATTGCAAAGTCAGATACACAGAGAGGAAGATCTTCTGTCTGATTATTCACACCATAAGTGGCTGCAGTGGCCAGAGCTGCGCTGATTCAAAGCCAGGAACCTGGAGCCTCTCCCTCCGGGTCTCCCACGTGGGTGCAGGGTCCCAAAGCTCTAGACTGTCCTTGACTGTTTTTCCAGGCCACAAGCAGGGAGCTGGATGGGAAGTGGGGCAGCTGGGATTAGAACCGGTGCCCATATGGGATTCCAGAGCATGCAAGGCGAGGACTATAGCTGCGTTGTGCCCCTATAGTTGTTTTTCTTAAAGACTGGGTTATCTGGTGGATACTGTGATGGATTAATCAGCTAATCCTCCACTTGCAAGTGCTGAGGTCCTGTATGAGAGCCATTTCACGTCCTGGCTGCTCCACTTCCCATCCACTGCATCACACTGGAGGACTCCTGCAGCACACATCACAGTGCAAGAACTGGCCTCCCGAGAAACAGGGCTGCGGGGCGGCGGGTGTGGAAGGGAGATTTCCTCTTTCTTCCTCTCGCTGACTGCACTGTCTGCCTCTCCTTCAAAAACGCATGCATTCTGATTTCAATGTTTTAATTAGTTAAAATAAAAACAAAACAAACAAACAGCCTCTCTTTACTCGTGGAACACAATGTTGCATCTTCACGGTGGGGGAAGAAAGAGACCAGAAGGATGATGATGATGATGACGGTGATGATGATGATGAGCTTACAGGAAGGAGTCCCCGTCTCCTCCAGGGCTCTGGCACCTGTCTTTGGAACTGCAGCCAAGGCTGAAGACCAAGCCAGTGTGGCAGGAAAACACAGCTTTCTTAATGTGGTGCTAACTGGCCCCTTGGGGGAGCCTTCAAGGCAAATGAATTCATCAACCCAGGTAACATATGGTCACCTATCAAAATCCTGAGGGGTGATGGGAAGGTTTACTAACAGTTTATTTTGCTGGCTATGTAGGTGGCAACCCTTCGAGGACAGGTGGGGGAGGGACAACAGCTCTGCGGATTATTTCTGCCTCTCAGTGTCAGCCAGGGACAAGGATGCAGTAAATTGCTACAGTGTTGTAGTTGTTGTTGGCATGCTGGAATTAGTCACCTTCTAAAACATCAGAAAACCGCCTAATCTATACTTGGATATATGAAAAAGCAATTCCTGGTAACATACAAAAAAAAATGATTTCTTTTAGAATTTCTCTGTGTGACAGGTGTCAGTTCTAGTCAATCAAAGTATAATTTCCCCCCCTAAATTATGCACAGTGTGGAAAGAGCTTAGGGAATGTTTAATACGCAGAGGCTTACCGCAATGACTGACACGCTACTGCAGGAAATCCACCTGCGACCCTCCCACAGACTGGCAAGCGGGAGCCGGTGCTCAGCGAAGGGATCTGACTCACTTGGGAGAAGCACCAACGGCGCTCTGAGCAGAGAGCCCATCACACAGCGCAGGGAAATGATTGCAGTGAGCCTCAACTTAGAACTGTTTCCGAGGGAACGTGGTCTAGTGAGTCAAGCAGTCAAAATTCAGGAACAGATTACCTTCAAAGAAATCCACCATGCTACCACCTGCGCTCCACATAGGACTATGCAGCACACGCCCGGGGGGGAATTGTGGGCTGAGACCTAGCAAGTGCCCAGCCATTCCAGCAAAACGCCGGCTTCGGGACGGGCAGACGTGATGAGCAGCTGTGCAGCCAGGAGCTTCCTTCCTGCTAATCAGTAATTACCACTGCCTTTCCCTGCTACAGCTTCTCTCATGTCAGGAAAAGGTACCCACCCCCGCCCTGCCCCACCATCACTCCTTCAAGTCATTCCAGCTACATACTGGGGAGTAGACCCTGGGCTCTCCTTCCAGTCTTTACTAAATTATTCACCTGGAAGTACCAAGTTCTGGCACGTCCGAGCACTCTGGGAAATCATTTCTTTCTGCCATTCCTCTGTCCCCACCCTCCCTAGAGCCAGGCCTGATCCCTTTCCTAAGATCAAAGCTTTCTTCTTGGGCTTGTTCACAACCTCTCTCCTTGCTCCCCCACACCTCCTATAACTTTACCCTCTGCCATCATAGTGGGTTTAGACATGTTCGGCTGTCACACTCCGTGTTTAAAATCTGGGCAGTGTGAGGCCAGTGTGGTGGGTCAACGAGCTAATCCTTCACCTGCAAGCACCAGTATCCATATGGGCACCAGTTTGAGTGCCAGCTGTTCCACTTCTCATCCAGCGTCCTGTGTGTGATCTGGGAAAGCAGTGTAGGATGGCCCAAGTCTGTGGGGGCCCTGCACCCGCATGGGAGACCTGGAAGAAACTCTTGACTTCAAATCAGCTCAGCTCCAGCTGTTGTGGTCATTTGGGGAGTGAACCAAGGGATGTTAAGATCTTTCTCTGTCTCTCCTGCAAATCTGGCTTTCAAATAAAAATAAATCTTATATAAAACAAAACAGAAACCTAGGCAGTGTGTGTGCCCTCTATCCCAAGATGTGTCCAATGTGACAGCATAGCACTTAGAGAATGGCCCTTCCTGGCCCACATTGCTGTAAGGCTTCTGCGTTCAACTTGAGGGGTAACTAGCTCGCCTCGCCTGCTGCCATCAAGTAGTGACATTGTGGTCTTTCCAAGGTGTGGCTCTGTAGCCTCCTTAACTTGCTGAATTCCTTGGTAGACTAAGACACCCATCCTGTTTCCACAGTGCTCCGACCATATCACAGCTACCAAAATGCTGTGTGTCTGAGGCCTCAAAAGATCTCAACCTCTTTCTGCCTCTTTCCATTTTGCCCCACATCATTCTGTCTTTAAAATAAAACAACCCGTAAACATGTAAACTATAAATTCCAGCAGGACAAGAACCACCTGCAAATATCTTCATGGCGTCCAAGCACTTATACAAGAGGTCTTCATAAAGTTCACGGAATTGTATATTATCAAAAAGTACAAATTTCAAGCCATTTTACATGAAGACAAATATTCTTCTTGTTCTTTAATACACTGATTGATTTCAGAGATAAACAGAGAGAGAGAGAGAGCGCATGCAGGTAAGGGAGGCAGTGAGACAGTGCTTCCACTGCTGGCTCACTCCCAAACACTCATCACCTTCAAGTCTGGCCCAGGCCACAGCTGGAACTGCACACTCAACCCAGGCCTCTCATGTAGAAGATTGAAACCCAATCTCTGGCAGCGCTAGTTTATGCTCTCATTTCATTTTCCACAAAAACTTGAAGTCCCCACATAAAAAGCTTGGAACACATCAGTAGTTGCTACACGATACACAAGCCACAGGTGCCGACGATATATGGGGGATGGGGGACGATGCTACGGCACAGCAGGTGAAGCTGCTGCCTGTAGCACTGTAGGGCTGTGCTTGTATCAAGTGGCCCCAAGAGATGAGATGGTGTCTTGTCCCAGATGAGGAGCCTAACTCACTTCTAGTGCCTAGAGCAGTGTCTCCACCCCACCCCATCCAGAAACTCAGTGACCCTCGCCTGTGGCTCCGCCCACTGCACATGCTTGCAGGTGCCTGGGTGGGAACCTGGGCCATCAGCCCACGTGGGAAGCGAACATCTGCACCCTGCCTGCTTTACACACTGCCACTGAACAACGCCACTTCCGCGGTTACAATCTCTTACCGGATCCAGGTTCTTAAACAGCAGGATGTCTTTGCAAGCCTCCTGCAATCTATTCCGTTGATCGTCGGTTTTTGGATGTATGATCTAAAAGAACCATAGATGCCAAAAAAGAAAAAAAAAAAAAGGCCATTAGTCAATATCATCTATCTCATTCAGAGCGACAAGCATCTCTAACCTAAGTCAGTGAATGTCAGAAAGAGCTGCTAGCGCTCAACTTCTTGTCACATTATTGTCGGGGTTCACTGCCACCTTCATCAACACTGCGCTGGAGTGTTTTGCAAGCCAGCGTTTTCCCCCATGTTATCAAGTTCATGATGCAGACATGTGTGCTGGGACAGAAAGACTCCAACCCTTCTGACGGCGGTGGGCATGGGCACAGCCAGCAGTCCAGACACCACCTCCCCTCTTGTCTGCTGCATTCGGCTCCTTGAGGATAGAGCCTTTGCTCCGAGATTCTCTCAAGTGCCCAAGAACAAGCAAACAGAATGGTGCACCTCACCAGACATCAACAGTGTGTGGGCGACTTTCAGCAAGGAGCTGAGCCCAGGTTCTGGCACTTTAGGAGTATGGAGCAGTGAGAATGACATTCCAGGGATGCTGGTACTTTTATTAGAACTCAGGGTGGGGGGACAGCACTCCCAGTTCTAGCTGCTTTTTTCCACTTGCGCTGGGAGCAGCGGAATGGCCTTTGCGTGTGGCCCTTGGGGGAGTCTGTATCAACCAGTAGAAGGCTCTGTTGATGTGATGTGTACCAAATGGCCCACTCTCCCATGAGCCTTGGTGGTTTGTAACTGACACATGGGTTCCAGACCCAAGGGGCAAGGGAGTACTCCCCTGGAGTCCTACATGGCACCTGCTCCAGTGTCACCTGAGGACTGAGAATAGGTGTGGAGGAGCAGGTGCCTTACCTGGACAGCCAGCACCCATGCTACCCCAATCAGAACAGCCCTAAGCACTCAGCAGTGGGCTTGGTACCCGTTAATGCATCAAAACTCAAAGTGAGAAATTTAAATCCACAGTCCAGATCCCATCAGATGGCTACAAAGTGATGAAAAGCACCAGCCTGAGAAGAAGTGAGACTGCAACAGCAACACAACTCATTGCAACAGATCCCAAGTCTCGACTCATTGCTACAGATCCCGATGCCTAGAAACACATGGGAAGGGCCTTCATTCAGATGTTCTCCTACAAGGGCCAGGTGTTTGTCAATTGTTGCAGACTGCCTGCCCCATGTTCATCTCCAAGCGCAAACTCAGCCAATGAATGGATGAAGATAGACCCTGGGTCACTGCTGCAAGGGAAGCCGGAAACATGCAGATACTCCCTAAAGCATATGAACCCAAATGCACCACTTTCCACTTTAAATGAGGAAAGTAGCATATAAGAAACCGTACAACACAGAGAGTCACCCCACATTTCACAAAAAACCATCTGGGACTGCAGAAACTGTGCGTGCCCGCCTGCGGTGGGTCTCTGTCCTCTTCACCCTGACGGCAGGGGTGCTATGTCGGCAGCGGGCACCTGCTTTACTCCTGCTCTCCATTCAAACCGTCCACTCAGCGCGCCTGCCTCTGGTGAAGCCCGCACAGGGAAGGCAAAGTTCTCCTCTCCTGTCCTCCCTGATGCTCTGTGACTCTCAACGAATCCGTCCAACCGCTCTGGCCTCCTGGTCTGCCTGCACTGCCACCGTGTGTGGTGTGCCCCCGTTTTCCCTGTTGTTCACTTGCTCTGCCCACCAACACCCCTCAGTCGCCAGGTCCCTCATTGGTGACCGTGATTAAGGTTCTTTCATTGAAGCTCCTGTTTCCTCCTAGTAAATCGGTCAGAAGCCAAGGGCAATGCTGGGCCCCGTCATCCTTCTGCTGTGTAACCGTCTGTTCCAAGGATGCCCGGCAGCTGCACTTGGCCTTGGTGGGACCCTGTGTTTAAGATCATTATGTTTGGATCACTCAGTATTAAACCTTAAGAGTGATTTTTAAAATTATATTACATACCACTTTATTAAAATTGATTCCCAATTTCAGGATAAAGGCCTTATCCGCTGTACACAGAAATTTGCGTGGCATTTATTACAGGCCAGGCACTAGTCCAAGAGCTTGACAGTGAGTCCTTTAGCAACAGGCCTCATGACACAGGTACCAATTTAGAGTGAAGGGAAGTAACTTGTCGGTAGCTTCTCCTTGTTATGTGGCCCATGGCAGTAGGGCTGGGCTTTCCAGTAGGCATGGCTGTGAAGCTTGCTCCCTAACCAGGAACCTCCCAAGTCTGTTTCTGTTGGAATTCCGGCCTAAGAGGGATTTCTGCCTTGTTTAATGACTGAACACAAAGGCCAGGCAAGATCACTCAAAGGGCTAATCCTCCACCTCCAGCATTCTATATGGGTACTGATTCATGTCTCAGCTGTTCCACTACCTAGCCAGTCCCCTGCTTGTGGCCTGGGAAAGCAGTCAAGCATAATGCATCTGCAGATGGACACCTGCTCATCCTCTCTGCCTCTCTCTCTCTGTAACTCTTTCAAAAAATTAAAGGAAATCTTAAAAAAAAAACCCAATCTAACAAGCCAAAACATGTTACTGATCTGAGGGGTCAAGTGGTGGCTCAAATTCCTCGCAGTACCTTGTGGGTTCTGAGTTTGTGAGTTGCTGCAAACAAACAGCTTTCAACCCTGATCACAAAATGTTCATCCGTGTTGAAGCCACCAAAGCCATCGTGACACGTCTGCATCTTGTCACACACATCGAGCCACAGCAAGCAAGGTCAAATTTCCCAGGCTTACCCAGGGGGGCAATGACATGCCACAGACTACGAAGAATACCTGGAGCGGAAGTCAGCGCCATTTCCAAGCTGGGGTTTGTGGACTTCCTCGGGACTACTAAAGTCTTGCTCCTGAAAATCTGGGAGCTCGTGGCACCGGTGAGCTCCCCGGGGATGGGGCCAGCGGCCCGCTGGGGTCCCCACGGGTCTGAGGAGGCTGCCCTTTCCTGCCCAGGTTTCACAGGTGTCAGGACACATCCTCTGTGCCTCTACATCTCATCAAGTTCACGGAGGGATTTTTCAGAGGTCCTGGTTTATGCTTTTTTCCAATTCAAGGTACAGCCACAAATTCATAAATAATAGAGGAACTGAGAAACAGGATGCGGCTTAAAAACCCCTTCAGGGTAACGCTGGACAAATTCTCAGAAAATCGTGAGGGTTTTGGATAACTCCACAGCTGAGCAAACCACCAGGAGTCCAAGAACATAAACAGTAGTAGCTGCTGCCAGGGCATGTCAGATGTCATTGTACTGTCATTGTAGCTTTTGTTTCAGAAGAGGGTTCTGTGGTGACACAGGAAAAGCCCCAAAGGCTTCCCCTGCAGTGCCGTGGCGGAGCAGCCGGCCAGCAGGCTGTACAGGACCCGGCCTGCTGCAAAGGCAGGTGGGAGTCAAGACTCATTGAATCTGCAGCCAGCTACATTTGAAGCTGATCACTTTCTTTGGGCCTGACAAGGATGTTATCCACAGCCAAAGGGCCCACAGCAGAAAATAAAAAGGCTCCCCACCTCCGTAAGAATATAACCTTCTCACGAACAGTTCATCCTCAGCATGTGATTGGCCAACGAAATAAAACTGCAACTGCAGTGAGCACACATGAGGCGTCCTCAAAAAGCATCACAGAGAAACGTACATCATTAAAAAAAGTAGTCTATGCATTTCAAAACTTCCTGTGCCGAAATACACTTACATGCTAATCCCATTTCCTTCCACAAACGATCTTCCTTTCTATCTAAAGAGAAATGCTCTTTGAACAAAAATAATCCCACGTAGGAGTTGTCAAAGGTGGGACTAAGAAACAGGCGCAGTAACTGCACGGTGTCTCCTGCTAACCTGTTGACATCCACCCTACAAGTGCCCCTTCAGGATCAGGAGTTTCCGTTTAAAATCCACGCACGCGGTAAATGACATACCCTGGACTCGGCATCATCTTCTTCTTCATCAGGGTTGTAGGCTTCTGCACAGACTATAAACATAAAAAAGGGACATTTTAAGGATTCTGTCATCAGGAAAATCCACGTTCCAATAAACACATCTTCAGGAGTGAAGAGCAAACAGCGCTGTGCTATACAAAGTGTATCAGTGTCTGCAAATTCCACATGTGCAGGGCAGAGTCTCATCCTCTGATTTGTAAAGAATTCCCTAAGTCAGAAAGCTGCCTTTGAAGACACCTGTCAATGGCTCTTCGCTTTCTTCCTGCTAGAGAGTCAGGGTAATACCCTCGGCTTCAAAATCGCCTCGACTAACAGAAGCAAACAAGCAGCTCAAGTCTGCCGCAAAGCATCAACTCAGGAATCATTTTCAGAAATGATTAGTAGAACTTTGCATGTCCCTGCTCCGTCCTTACTCGGTGGTGAGCTTACATTGCACATTCAGTTGGTTTAAAACCTGCATTTTTCATCCAATACCGTGAGAACTTCACATACTCCTGAAAACGTTCTGTAAATATTGATTTTTAAGGACTGAAGATCATCTGGCATTAGGCCATAATGAAGGGCTTCCCTAATGCCGAACATTCAACAAGATTTTTGTTAAAACAACTTCACAGTGCACATCTTCCTGCATAAACATTTGTTCACATATAAGATCATGCTGCAGGCATTATCAGCAAATGCTACACCGTGGGACAGAAAGACATGACAATTTTCAGGAACATTTCCACCAAGTTTCCTTTCAGAGGAATTGTACCCATCCATTTTCCTAGCAAAAAATGATGCCAAAAAAAAAAAAAGCTCTTTTAGCTGTGAAATGGAATTGAATGTCATTATTTACAATCTTTGTCAATGTAAATGAAGGCGTTGGGTTTTTAAAAATTATTAAATTTGAATAATTTCCCAAATGCTTACTAGCTGATTATAATATCTCCTTTCTCCTCATCTGTGAGGGAATGTCTGGTTTTCTTTTTGACTTGCCCCAATTTCAAAGTATCACTTTAGAGCTTGGCACAATGACTCAGTTAATCCTCCCCTTGCAAGCACCGGGATCCCGTATGGATGCAGATTTGTGTCCTGGCTGCTCCTTGACTGCCCAAAGCCTTGGAACCCTGCACCCACGAGGGAGAGACCGGAAGAAGCTCCTGGCTTCTGGCTTCGGATGGGCTCAGCTCTGGCTGCTCTGGCCATCTGGGGAGTGAACCTATGGATGAAAGATCTTTCTCTCTGTCCTGCCTTCTTTCTGTAAATCTGTCTTTCCAATAAAAAGAAATGAATTTTTAAAAAGAAAAAAAGCTCTACTCTATCTGTCATAATCTCATCATGGTTTTATCCAATTTGCTTTCTTTTACATTTTTATTTATTTGAAAGGCAGAAGGAGAGATCTTTCATCCACCGGTTGGCTTCCCAAATGCCCACGACAGTCAGAGCTGGGCCAGGCTGAAGAATCCAACTCAATCTGTGTTTCCTTTGTGGGTGGCAGGTACCCAACTCGCCTGAAACATCACTTGCTGACTTCTAAGATGCGCACCTGTGGGAAACTGGAATTGGAAGCCGGCAGCGACCCAAAGCAGGCCTTCTGACACAGCCACAAACAGAACAGGTGTCCTAACCACGGCACCAAACTCCTGCCCCCATCCACTCTGCTTAGAAACAGTAATCCAAGTGGGTTTTTTGTTTGTTTGCTTGCTTGCTTTTTTACATATGATGTACATGCGGCCATGTTTAACACGATGACATCTACGGGGAAGAAAATTCCCCTTTGAGATTTCAACCCCACTTTAAATGTCACAGAAACCATTGCTTTTGAGCTCGGAAACCCTCTTCTTTTTTGCAAATCTGAAGATGTGTCACTTCCTTAGATCTTTCCACATGGGCTTTTTCATCCACAAAGGAGTTTATTCTGGCAGAGGACATGGGAAGTTACAGACTCTGGTGCAGGCAAAGGGCTGATCAGGGTCTTCCAGGGCCTCGGCACAGTATGACCCCAACCCTGTGCCACTGCTATGTGACCTGTTACCGGCTCTCAGCTCTTCAGGAACTGGTCTTGCACACCCGGCCGGGGGCGGAGGGGGCAGGGCCCAGCTTTGCCCTCCACACAGGACAGGTGGCAGTGTCGGGAAACATTCAGATGAATGATTTGGCCCCAGATGTCCACGACACTGAGGCTGAGAAACACTGACCAAACGCACATTGCCCGCTTCCCTTTCACAACCACCCACTGAGGGGGACTGAGGTCAGCACTTGGCAGCCGGGATGACTACGGAACAGGGAGATCAAGGTCACACACTGCAGAGGGCGACAGGACACGTGTCTGTCTTCAAGCCCTGAAGCGCTGGCTCCACTGCGCTCTGCACAGGAGCACGCCAGAATGCTTCCTGCCTCGGAACCCTAACAATAACACATCTGTCTCTCAGGGCCAGCCTGCTCTGCAGGTCCTCACTGATACACAGAGCCTCATGAGCGATGGACGCGGCACGACCAGCCAGCTGACGATGACAGGGGCACATGGTGAGCAGGAAACGAGAAGGAAGAGAGCTTGTCGGATGAATGGAACGCTTAATGGCATCAGGCTGGCCACCCCGAGGCAGCCGCACACTCGGTACAGATGGCCCCACTTGCGTGGCCTGGGCTGCTTTAACTGCAGGGCCTGCCACTCTGCAGTGAGCAGGACGACTTGTCCTTCGTAAGCATGGCTGAACTTGCCGTCTCGACGCTTGACCCATGTCTCCAAGGCAGCACTGTGTAATTTGTAGGGCATAGTGGCAGAAGAAAATTGGGCCTTGAGCTTCAAATGAAGACTATGCAGAGGGTAACAACAGCTGAACACAAGTCCAAGGCAGCGGGGGGCCTCCCGCACAGCTGGCTCTGTCCACAGTCTCAGCACACGCAAGCAGACGATACAGGAGGCAAGGCACCTGCTCCACGGAGCCCCCTAGGCTCTGACCCTTCCTGCTCACCTTACACTTTAATTCACAAACACTAACCTGAACACTCCAGTGGCTGTTTCTAGCCCTGAATCGACGACAGATCAGCTGTCCTAGTGCTGGTCATGATGCAGCTCTTTGGCTTCTGATGGTTATTTTGTCACACAGTATGTGCGTTTACTGGCTGTTTCGTTAAAACATGTGATGTGGTACCCTCACAAGGAGTTAATTGTTGCTGTTGGTTACAACTGCTTCCCTAAGGTAGAGTTCATCTACCACTACTGCCTACAGCCAAATCAAAATAAAGCACCTGCTGTTTCATAAGGTGCCTCACAGCTCTTTAAGGTCACTGAAAGTATTTCCTTTAACTAGAACTCAGGCCACATTTTTTTTCCTTCCAAGCCATCCATTCTCTCAAACCTTACGATTAAAAGTTCAGAGTCACATCTTTTTTTTTTTTTTTAAGATTTTTATTTGTTTTGATGCTCAAGAGAGACAGAAAGAGATCTTGACTCCCCAAACAGCCATCAACAGCCAGTGTCATGTCAGGCCAAAACCAAAAGCCACGTGCTTCCTCAGGCTCTCGCCCATGGATGCAGGAGCCCGCATGCCTGGGCCATCCTCTGCTGCTCTCCCAGGCTGCTGGCGAGGAGCCAGAGAGGACGGAGCGCAACCAGCCCAAGGGCCAGCCTCCCCGTGGCATGGCAGCGGCTTTTACTGCCACAAGTCCAAAAGCCAGATGATTCAAGTTATACAGTGAGGAAGGTGGCTGTGGGGAAGAGAGAGCAAAGAGACAGTTCATGAGGGGGGAAGAGAGAGAGAGAGAATGAGAGACACAAGAGAAGAGAGAGAAAAAGGAGAAATGAAAAGAGAGGGAGAGGAAAAAAAGAAGTCTGACATCCTGCTCCCCAGTGGGAGACAGCCAGGGACCACCTTCACGTGGCAGGGTGACCAAGCGAGGAAATGGCCGCCCAGGGCGTATAGCACTGGGCTTTTACACATCTTAGGTGTGTGTGTGGGGGGGATGGGTTAAGGCGATAGCTCCTCAGTTGGCTTGTGATGTGTCATCACGGCAGGTGTTGATCTTCTGCTCGGAGTTGGCATGTGAAACACTCTTGGGTGAGGGTGTCTGCTTGAGCTCGGCGGAGACAGCACCGAGGCTAGTGAAGCTTCTGTTGCTCACGGTCAAAGGGAGGCGGGAAGCGGAGACGGCAGCGGTACGCCGGCTGCTGCTTGGTGGTCCAAGGTTACCAGGTGTTTCTGACTTGTGATAAGTTCTCTTGTCCCGATACACTCCGCTCCTTGGGAGAAGATTCTGTTCGGCCCTACACTCCCGACGCCTAGAGTCCACGTCGACCTCTTGCCTACACAGAGCTGATTTGGGAAACTCCAGCTCTGGGTTCACCCTTTGTAGACTTCAAGTGGGAAGGACTCCTGACCATCACTTCACCGCACTGTGCTCTCCCAAAGCTGTTGCGATCTTTTTGCTTCCCAGGCGTGGACCCGCACGCAGCCCTGTGGGGAACCCACTGCGTGACCCTGAGCCAATCCCACACTTGCTGAGCCCTGACCTGGATGCACAGTTCTGAATGAGTAACTGGCGGGCTAAGGAGCTGCCAGGTCCTGGAGAGCAGGAGTCACGTCTCCAGCAACGCCCAGGGCGCACACACCTGGCTGTGTTCAAAGGATGGGGGACGATGAGTCACCTGGGATCAGACGTCCCACTCAGTGAGGATGGAGACCATGAGCAATGATCCTTCTGTGCCGCTCCCCAAAGGGCCTGGCGCAGAGCTCAGGAGCTGAGGAAACAGAACTGTCTGCCTGGATGGGCCACGCTAACCAACGCCTTTAGATAACCTAAACTGCTTCGAACTGTGGGATGTTCCAAACCTCCTAGGCAATCGGAAATTTAGCTTGAAACTACAAACTTCCCTCCTTGGTTGGCAGTTGGACAGCAATGAGGGGGGGATAACCTGATCATATATAATTTTTGCTAAAAGCAGAGTGCGTGTTTGTGGAGAGGGGGCAGGGATCTTCCATCTGTTGTTTCTTTTTGTCCGTGTAACTCTACCTTTTACATAAAAATAAATCTTGAAAAACACACACAA